CCTGGTCATGTGAGGTCATCAGCATATGATGGTTGATTCATTGGCCTATATATATTGCATACATTGCCATGGCGATTGAGTCCCCTTATGTATTTCACTCAGCTGACTGTATGGTGATCTCTCCTCTTAGAGCCTTGAAGTTCGTTATATAAAGGTCTGTCGGATTCCTGTAGGTGTTTTCAACATAACTTGAAAAGCTTACACTTCATCTTGATATTGTGCAGTGTGGCCTTACGGTTGATAATGTTGAAAGAATTGGAGGCGTCAACCAGGAGTACTGCCTCACAATCACGCTGTTCAAATATCTTTCTCATGGCGTCAATGACAGCTTCACCCCCAGCCTGGTGTCAGTATTTACGGGTTTCCTGCTGTTAACATAAGAATGTAGGAAACTGCAGCGGGCCTATTGGCCCATACTGGGCAGTCCCATTTACACCCAACCCCTATTGCTCATATATCCATCCAACCTATGTTTGAAGCTGTCCAGCATATTCGAGTTAATGATGATATTTGGTAACTTGTTCCACTCATCCACTACTCTATTTCCAAACCAGTGTTTACCTATCTCGCTCCTAAATCTAAATTTGTCTAATTTAAAACCATTGCTACAAGTTCGCTCCTGGTTGGATAGTTTGAGTACCTTTGTTATATCATCTTTGTTTAGCCCTGACTTACATTTATACACCTCGATCATATCGCCCCTCACTCTACGTCTCTCGAAGGAGTGCAAATTAGGATGTTTCAACCTGTCTCTGTACTGAAGGTTCCTATTGCCCGGGATTAGTCTCGTCATAATTCTTTCTAGGGATTCTATATCCATTCTGTAATACGGTGACCAGATCTTAATTGCGTAATCCAAGTGAGGTCTGACAAGCGCAAGATATAGTTCTAGGATGACCTCGCTAGTCTTGTAACTAACACGCCTTTGTATGAACCCAAGTACTTTGTTAGCTTTGTTTCCAGCAAATAGACATTGTTGACTTGGTTTAAGATTGCTACTTATCATTACTCCTAAATATTTCTTACAATCGGATTTCTCTATAACAACGTTGTTCATCTGGTATCTGGTTTCTCTGTTTACATCTCCTAGGCTAAGTACTTTACATTTGTCCACATTAAATTTCATTTGCCAATTTTCAGACCATTCGAAAAATTTGTTAAGATCTTCCTGTAGTTTTGCGGAGTCCTCGTCAGGTTTAATTGCACGCTCTATTTTAGTGTCATCAGCAAATTTACTTATGTTGTTGTCTACGCCAATGTCTATATCACTTATGTATATAATAAGTAATAATAGTCCAAGTGCTGAGCCTTGGGGTACTCCACTAGTGACGTTACCCCAATCGGATTTAGTGCCGTTAATGCCCACTCGCTGTTTCCTGTTCTGTAAATGCGCCTTAATCAATTTTAGAATATCTCCTCCAATGCCATGAGCCTCCACTTTTCGTATTAGTCTTTCGTGGGGTACCTGTCGAAGGCTTTGCGAAAGTCGAGATATACCACATCATGATCGTGTCCTTCGTACGCTGAATCAAAAACAGCCGAAAATAATGTAAATAGATTAGTCGAAAAGAATCTTTGAAATCCTCCATTACACAATTACCGATAATACTACTTCTTGGATTATTGTCCAAGAGGATGAAGCGGCTCACTACCAGAGAGGTTGTAGGTGATGTGCATTTAACTCTAGAGGCGAGGAATAAATGAACAAGGTACCTTAACAATTCCAGCTACAAGGAAAATTCTAACATATGAACCTTTGAGAATCAGTGGTAGCCTCATCAATAACTTAGTCGTCTCGTGTTATACAATAAACTTGTGTCTCAAATTATAAAAAAAAAAAAAAAATATGCATATCGAATTCTAACGTTTAATTACTGGGGTACAAGCTTTTTTTTTTTTAAGTTTTGTATAACATTCTCTCTCTCTCTCTCTCTCTCTCTCTCTCTCTCTCTCTCTCTCTCTCTCTCTCTTATCTGTCTCTGTTTCTACCGGTGTTTTCTCTCTCTCTTTGTATCTAAGTTCTCCTGTATCTCACTTTATCCTCCTCCTCATCTCTCCTCTTTTCTCTCCCTTCTCAATTCTCTCTTCCCTCTCTTTATGGTGCCTGTAACCTGTGTTCTCTACGCTCTCTCCTATTTCCCCATCCTCCTCTCTTCTCCCTCTACACCCGACTGCCTCTTCATCTTCTACATTTCCTCTCCTCCTCCTTCTTCACCCTTTCCTTCTCCTTTTCCACCTCCCTCTTCTTCTTCTCCTCTTCGCCCGTCGTTGTTGTCATCCCCCTTCTTCTCCTTTCTCCTTATCCTCTTTCTTCTCCTTGTCGTCTTTCTCCTTCTCTTCCCCCTCCCCTGTCTCCGCCTTCCCCTCTTCTTCCCCTTTGTGTTTCTCTCCATCCTTCTCCTACTCCACCTCCCCAACCCCTCCCCTCACCTCTTCCGTGTTGAGTCCTCCTTTTCCATGTAGACAGAAGTCCAAGATATATATATATATGTGTGTGTGTGTGTGTGTGTGTGTGTGTGTGTGTGTGTGTGTGTGTGTGTGTGTGTGTGTGTGTGTGCGTGTGTGTGTGTGTGTGTGTGTGTGTGTTGATTTTCTATACATACTTTCAAAATATTTTATGTACTCTTTCTTTCTTTCTTTTGCTACTACTTCTATTAAATCTTCCATTGCTTTTATTTTTACTCCTATTATTTGTTATATACTATCACTACTAATAATAATAATAATAATAATAATGACCACAACTTGACTGCTCTTGGCCGCGATGCCAACTCAGTGTCAAGTGAAGCTTTTTGTTGTCAATACAGTGTAATGCTCTTTACACTTGTTCTTATAACACTGAGAGCATAACATTTCTACAGTAGAGTTATTAAACTTTTTATTTATTTACTGCTTGATAACATAATCTGGAAGGTAGAACACATTGGACAACTCACTGAGGGGTTGTTACATCAAGGTCATGGTCATATCTTGTCTCAAGCTGATGTTTAAAACATAGTATATTGACACTCAACTTCCTGGTCTGTTTGTTCACATTGTTTAAGAAAAGGTGTATTTTTCTCTTTATCTCCATAGCTACGACCAAGTTACCCTGGAAGTTGCTGACCTTATAATAAATGTACACCACAACCTACGTGATGTACAGCTTCCTCCACAACAAGGTCATTCTCAGCCTCCTGGGACATTTACTTCTGGTTCCTCAGTTGTACTCGTGGCCACTTCTCTTCAATTAGCAGCATGATGAAGGGTCTGTACCTTCCAGACTGACGGGCGTCTATGTTTCGACAACAATGTGTCAATAACAGCTGCTCTTGAACAAGACAGGCAATATGTGGCAATAATTAAAGTGTTTTTGCTGCTCAAAGAGATTGTATTTCCTCAGATCTTTATTAAGGTTTGCTGCAATAGTTGTGAGACGAGTTTTGTTTTTGCAACAAATATGCACAGAAGCTGGATGATCAGTGTCGCCAAAGTGACTCTCAGCAATCTTTTGGCTGATAAATAGAAGCCTGTTAAGATCTTTCTGGGTCGGCTACAGTTCGACCTGTTACTGTGGTTAGCCCATTTTGTGAGATGTGTTTGTTTACATCGTAGCTAACTCACGAAATGACCCTTAGGAAACCCACAATAGTAGCCAGACTAACGATGCTAAATAAGCATTCCACCTCTGTCTCTGAATTCAAGCATTTCTTGCATGGTTGTAGTTTTAATACAAGTTACGAACAACATTGGCTCCAATTTAATCTAGACAGTGGCTGTGTCGTGTTTAATAATGTGTCTTCGGTCTGTGTTTGCTGATATCTTGTGTTATTTTAGGTGATACTGGGATAAACATAAACCTTTATTACACCCCAGTCTTCCTAATTACGTGGACAACATTCATTCCCTTCATGCTAACTCTTTTGCCAACCCTGGAGCATGACCAAATGTGCCATTACATTAGGCTAAATATTATTTATACGCGTTTGTTGTATGCTAGAATGATACACTATCATACTGATGGACTAAATATGCTGGTAATGATAACTTGATACAATTGTGTCGCCTCAGTCACATATGGTAAAGGGGTAAGATGGGTGACGTGGCTGGTCAGACTATAGACCTTAACCTCATAATCTGATGTTCTGTCATTGTGAGTGTGATGGATATAATGAAGTTTTATATTTCAAAAGTTATTTCTAAGCTCGCCTCCAAGGTGACCTGATAGTAGACTCATCTATAATCTAATCGACTAATATGTGAATAGCAGTCCTGGTACCACACCACACACCATGAAAAAACACACCACTACCCACATCATTTATTCTACTGTCTCTTACACTATACTGGTCAGTTTCCTACCATTAAAATAAAACTGGTTGATTTATTCTGTGTAATTATATATTGCTACAAATATATTGTTCGTTAGGTTGTGGAGTAAATTAACGACTCGTCCACAATCTATTATTTCTCAGGTTTTATATTGAATTGTGAACTTCTGGCTGAACATCAACCTTAGCAGGAGTCATTCTCGTAATCATCAGAGGTCAATTTAGTCTGAAAAAGTTAGTTCCCAGATTGAGCAAAACTTGCCGCTGTTATCATTTTCAAACAACTTTTCGGCTTAACACGTGCAGACTGTAAGGCACATTACACTGGGGGTCTAATATTCAGGTGATAAAGATAAACAAATTAAATGATGAAGGTACAATAAAGTCCTGAAAACTTATCGTTACTCTCTCTCTCTCTCTCTCTCTCTCTCTCTCTCTCTATAACACGTCTCACCTGGGTGTATACACTTTGTACTTCCAATTAGTACAATCACCTACTAAATATTCCTCCTCTTCACCCCACAGTGCTTGATACCAGGGAGTGTCGGGGGGCAGGCTGGCCACCGGGCTTACAGGTCAAAACTGATGAAACTAATGAAAGAAGGAACAAGAGAAGGTCTACATAATACACAGTTGGTACTATAAGACCAGAGACTACATAACATTGTCAGAGGTTACTGTAAACAACAGTTGTTAACAAATATAATTATGTGCACAGTGACAACAATACCTAACCTACAACACTACCATCAACTATTGTAGATTAATTGTACAATAACATTAAAAGAATCAATTAAATCATCGTATAATGAAGTGAAGTTAAGAGCGAAGCCGCTGACCCTGCCAAAGGCGTGGAGGTGAAAGACTGTTTTACTGAGTCTGAACCACGTGTTGAAGGTTCACCCTCGTCTTGTTCAGTCCCGTGTTGAAGGTTCACCCTCGTCTTGTTCAGTCCCGTGTTGAAGGTTCACCCTCGTCTTGTTCAGTCCCGTGTTGAAGGTTCACCCTCGTCTTGTTCAGTCCTGTGTCTGTCGGTCAAATATCTGCTTCAGTAAGGCAACATAAGAACTCTGTATAAACAATATAGTGTTAAGTATTGTCTGTATGTCCGTCAGGTGCTTCTCTTGGTGCCTCACGAGAGCTTCCCGGTGACGTAACTTATCGTCAGCTCTTGAGTGATTCATCATTTCTTGTTGTAACTTTATGTAGTGACGAACCTTGAGGAGCTCCAGTTGTAATGAGTGATGTTGGTTGCTTAACCTTTCACCCATCAAATGTCGTGCAAACTTTCTCACAAAATCACGACCTTGTAAGTGTTGTTGTTCTTGCTTCGGCAGTTGCGATAACAATTGATTTTCAATTTCCCTAAACTTTTCATCTTCTTCTTCTGATAAACTCATAATAATTCTCTCCGTCTCTGGACGCTGCTGTTTATACTTACTTAACACATCATTAATTCTACAACTCAACAAATTATCGGTAATTATAAATAACTTCATAACAGGTGATAACTGAGTCATAATTTCATCATGAGTTGTAAGAGTTTCGTTCCACCGTGATAACCAACCTTGTCCCATCTCGGCCATAGTGTTGAGCAACTGGTGATTCTCACTACAAACTTTCTCTCTGTCAACTAATTTTTGTGCGTTTTTATTACGTGTATTATCGAGTTTGTTGCTCTTATATTCTGCTTCTAAGAGCTCTTGTGTATCTCGTAATATATATGTTTTATCCCTATCATTTGCTGAAGACTTCAACTCTTGTATCTCTTTTTCCAACTCTAAAATCTTCGGTGTTTTCGACTCATTATTTTCACTCAACTTTCCATCTGGATTATCTTTCATCTCGCTCATCTCAGCTTCGTCTTTAAGACTCACCTCCGAGGTAAATGATTCATGTTTTGAGTTTACACTTTGTAGATCATCACTAAAATCTTTGAGTAACTGTGAGAGACTGTTTATGTACGTCAGGAAACTGTCTGAAGGTGACTGTTGAAGTAACAGGTTTTCTTCTTCATCCTTAGAATATTCAACACAAGACTCAGGTTCTCGCTGGTCTTGGTGTTCTTCTGTCGTCTTTTGACCGACGTTTTGTGGGTAGTTGTGTTTCACGTAGACAACACCCAATATGTTTATGGTGACCGAGACCATCAGTAGTAAGAGGCAAGTTACAAACCCACCGAGATAACTGGTCACTGGCTCACACTCACTGGACCTTGTAGGACACTGTGGTGTTGGACGACTCGTGGCAGCAACACTCTCCACAGCTTTCACCCTCAAGCTACCAAAGAAGTGTTCTAGACTGAGGTGAGATCCTGGAAACATGATGACACTCTCCTCTGCTACTCTGACTATAGAAGAGTTTCTCATCACCAAGTTTCCTCCGTCTATTATCACAGCCTTAGAAGCAACATCGTGAAGTTTTGTTTTCTGCAGCAGAACCTCTGAGCCATCAGCTACGTGAAGGCTCTGGAGAGTGTCTATGTGGGTTGAGACGAAGTCAACGGAGGCGCCGCTGGTCAGGGGGCTGGAAATGTCGAGGACTTTGACGATGGAGTTGATGACGATGAATTGTGTGATGTTGACGGTGGTGTCCAGCGAGGTGATGTTGACGTCCTCCAGGTGAACGTGACCCATCCGGCCGGGCAGTCTGTTCAAGGTTGAGTTTGTGGCTGAGAGTGTAAGGTGGCGGTGACAGGGGTGGTCCTTGCCCTTCACCACCACCACGTCGGCCACATTCTTCAACATAACACTGACACACACAGACTCACTCAGCTGTAGCTTCACCGCGTTGTTCACAAACACCATCTGCACTGTATCGTTCACCTGCACCATATTCACCATCTGTGGGAGAGTTATTGTGAATGATCATCATAAGACTCAACATGTATTCAGGGTAACACAAGCCATTAATTGTTTACTTCTGTTTCTTATTGTTTGGTCTTAACTCATAAGGAAACGTGTTCTAGTCTCCGCCATCTGTTTATATTTACTGTCACTTGATCTTAATGTTAATTGATAACGAACAAATCAAGAATTTACTTCCTGCTGAGTTATTATGAACTTATAAGTAAACGAGTATAATGAACCTACCCTACCCTACCCTACCCTACCCTACCCTACCCTACCCTACCCTACCCTGAGAATGTATGTACAGTATAATGTTACCTGATTCACTTTCTTGTAGTCACAGACGAGTGTGGGACTCCTGTACTCACAGTAAGGAGCATCCACACCCACGTTCACCTCCCAGGTTGGGTACACCCACACTACCCGCCCCATACACGCCCACATCATCACCCACACCCACACTCTCATTATGCCTCGCGGTGCTGTAAAATAATTAAAACACTTACTTGGTAAATTTATGTACCAAATTATTCATTTTCATACATTCAGTGAAAGTTTAAGATAAAGTATTTATGTATAACTCCAGAAAATATTAACTTTTTGTGACCTTAAAGAAAGCTGTAGTAAAGATAAACTTAATATACTTTCAACAAAACTCTTCAGGGAACACTAACAATATTAAACACTTAACAAAGGCATAAGAAAGAGACTGCCGTGTATATACTGAACTTACCCACAAGATCAGCTGAAGCAAACGTCGCCCGGAGCCACTCAATCAACTTCCACATCTGACATTTGTCTTAATTGTCAGTAAATATTAATGATTCACCAACATGGAGCCAACAGCCCTCAGATCTTCCTCAGTAATTTCTTTTGTCATCACTGACTTCACTGTCTGTCATCACTTACTTCACTGTCTGTCATCATTTACTTCTGTTACGAGTTGGGGATTTAGAAACTGGTTTAGAATATAGTTAAAAGTCTACCCAGATCCCAACAGGCAACAACAATAAAAAAACTAAACAAACAAAGACAATCGGACTATAAAAGGGTAGACAAAGGATGAGAGTTTTTGTTGTGTATAATAAAGTACAATAAATTCCTTAACAAAATATCCAGCTTTCTATAATTTACCCTTAACCATACTTAACCTAAACATACGCAACATTGGCTTAACAGTATATACATATTTATACAACATACAACAATCTGAAGCAAGTGGAGGTGGGAGGTAATATAGGGTTACAATACTCAAGTGCGGTGCTGAAGTGTCTGACAAGTAGGGCTGAGTATTGAAGAAGATGGTAGGTAGTCACTGTGCCGTAGGTTTCCAGGATAGGTAATCCAAGTGTGGTTACTTCCCAGAGTGAACTGCCCTCACCTCGATCCGGAGCTGATGAGGAAGAGTTGGAGGAGGTGACGCAACAACCAGGATATGGAGAAAGGAAACCCGGAGTGGTGACTAAGAATAGTCATACTCGGGTCGCGTCCCTAGATGGCGTTGCTCGGTAGTGCTGGGTAGTTAGATCATGACACAATAGATGGCGTGGTTCGTAATACTTCACTGTGTGTCATCACTTACTTCACTGTGTGTCATCATTTACTTCACTGTGTGTCATCAGTTACCTCACTGTCTGTCATCACTTACTTCACTGTCTGTCATCACTTACTTCACTGTCTGTCATCATTTACTTCACTGTGTGTCATCACTTACATCACTGTCTGTCATCATTTACTTCACTGTGTCATCACTTTCTTCACTGTGTGTCATCACTTACTTCACTGTGTGTCATCAGTTACCTCACTGTCTGTCATCACTTACTTCACTGTGTCATCACTTACTTCACTGTGTCATCACTTTCTTCACTGTGTGTCATCAGTTACCTCACTGTCTGTCATCACTTACTTCACTGTGTGTCATTACTTACTTCACTGTGTGTCATCAGTTACCTCACTGTCTGTCATCACTTACTTCACTGTGTGTCATCACTTACCTCACTGTCTGTCATCACTTACTTCACTGTGTGTCATTACTTACTTCACTGTGTGTCATCAGTTACCTCACTGTCTGTCATCACTTACTTCACTGTGTGTCATCACTTACTTCACTGTGTGTCATCACTTACTTCACTGTGTGTCATCACTTACTTCACTGTGTGTCATCAGATACCTCACTGTCTGTCATCACTTGCTTCACTGTGTGTCATCACTTACTTCACTGTGTGTCATCACTTACCTCACTGTCTGTCATCACTTACTTCACTGTGTGTCATTACTTACTTCACTGTGTGTCATCAGTTACCTTCACACTTACTTCACTGTGTGTCATCACTTACTTCACTGTGTGTCATCACTTACCTCACTGTCTGTCATCACTTACTTCACTGTGTGTCATCACTTACCTCACTGTCTGTCATCACTTACTTCACTGTGTGTCATTACTTACTTCACTGTGTGTCATCAGTTACCTCACTGTCTGTCATCACTTACTTCACTGTGTGTCATCACTTACTTCACTGTCTGTCATCACTTACTTCACTGTGTGTCATCACTTACTTCACTGTGTGTCATCAGTTACCTCACTGTCTGTCATCACTTACTTCACTGTGTGCCATGACTTACTTCACTGTGTGTCATCAGTTACCTCACTGTGTGTCATCACTTACTTCACTGTGTGTCATCACTTACTTCACTGTGTGTCATCACTTACTTCACTGTGTGTCATCACTTACTTCACTGTGTGTCATCAGTTACCTCACTGTGTGTCATCACTTACTTCACTGTGTCATCACTTACTTCACTGTGTGTCATCAGTTACCTCACTGTCTGTCATCACTTACTTCACTGTCTGTCATCACTTACTTCACTGTGTGCCATGACTTACTTCACTGTGTGTCATCAATTACTTCACTGTCTGTCATCAGTTACTTCACTGTGTGTCATCAATTACTTCACTGTCTGTCATCATTTACTTCACTGTGTCATCACTTTCTTCACTGTGTGTCATCACTTACTTCACTGTGTGTCATCACTTACTTCACTGTGTGTCATCAATTACTTCACTGTCTGTCATCATTTACTTCACTGTGTCATCACTTACTTCACTGTCTGTCATCACTTACTTCACTGTGTGCCATGACTTACTTCACTGTGTGTCATCAATTACTTCACTGTCTGTCATCACTTACTTCACTGTGTGTCATCACTTACTTCACTGTCTGTCATCACTTACCTCACTGTCTGTCATCACTTACTTCACTGTGTGTCATTACTTACTTCACTGTCTGTCATCACTTACTTCACTGTCTGTCATCACTTACTTCACTGTGTCATCACTTACTTCACTGTCTGTCATCACTTACTTCACTGTGTCATCACTTACTTCACTGTGTGTCATCACTTACTTCACTGTCTGTCATCACTTACTTCACTGTGTGTCATCACTTACTTCACTGTCTGTCATCACTTACTTCACTGTGTGTCATCACTTACTTCACTGTCATCATTACTTCACTGTCACTCTCACTGTCATCACTTACTTCACTGTCATCACTTACACTGTCATCACTTACTTCACTGTCTGTCATCACTTACTTCACTGTCATGTCATCATTACTTACTTCATCACTTACTTCTGTGTGTCTTCACTGTCATCACTGTGTGTCATGTCATCACTTACTTCACTGTGTGTCATCACTTACTTACTGTCACTGTCTGTCATCACTTACTTCACTGTGTGTCATTACTTACTTCACTGTGTGTCATCACTTACTTCACTGTGTGTCATTACTTACTTCACTGTGTGTCATCACTTACTTCACTGTGTGTCATTACTTACTTCACTGTGTGTCATCACTTACTTCACTGTGTGTCATCACTTACCTCACTGTCTGTCATCACTTACTTCACTGTGTGTCATCACTTACCTCACTGTCTGTCATCACTTACTTCACTGTCTGTCATCACTTACTTCACTGTCTGTCATTACTTACTTCACTGTCTATCATCATTTACTTCACTGTCTGTCATCACTTACTTCACTGTGTGTCATCATTTACTTCACTGTGTGTCATCACTTACTTCACTGTGTGTCATCACTTACTTCACTGTCTATCATCATTTACTTCACTGTCTATCATCATTTACTTCACTGTGTGTCATCACTTACTTCACTGTGTGTCATCAGTTACCTCACTGTCTGTCATCACTTACTTCACTGTCTGTCATCACTTACTTCACTGTGTGTCATCACTTACTTCACTGTCTGTCATCACTTACTTCACTGTCTATCATCATTTACTTCACTGTCTATCATCATTTACTTCACTGTGTGTCATTACTTACTTCACTGTCTGTCATCACTTACTTCACTGTCTGTCATCACTTACTTCACTGTGTGTCATTACTTACTTCACTGTGTGTCATCACTTACTTCACTGTGTGTCATCAGTTACTTCACTGTGTGTCATCACTTACTTCACTGTCTATCATCATTTACTTCACTGTCTATCATCATTTACTTCACTGTCTATCATCATTTACTTCACTGTCTGTCATCACTTACTTCACTGTTCTCCTTTTGATTACTTGTATTTCTTCACTGTCTATCATCATTGCTTCACTGTCTATCATCATTTACTTCACTGTCTATCATCATTTACTTCACTGTCTGTCTATATACTGTTTCTCTCTGTTAACACTAAATCGTCGCTTACCTCTCCACCTTTCTGTCGGGGAACTCTGTCTTCTTCACTATAGTTACACCTGAGGAAGACGCAGCAGGGTAATGAAGTCACAGTGTCCTCCCCACGTCTTCCATGTGGCGGTGAGATAAGACAAGGAAGTTGATCTCTAACCTCAGAATACACAGATAAGATAAAAACAATGAGGGACTTGTACACTTAAGAGTTAGTATTTATCATTTATTTGTTCAGTATACATCAAACACACGACGATGAAGTCATTATTATTATTTGGAATAGTATTATTATCATCATTGTCGTCATTATGATAATATCCATCAAATGTTACCATTTTTATGATTCTTATACTGTATGGGTATATTTTTCTTGATTTCGTTCTTCTTCTTATTACTTCTTTGTCTTCTTTCTTCGTCTTCCTTCTTATTTTTTCTTTTTTTTTCTTCTGCACACTCATCTCAATACTGTCAGCTGGACATGTGAGTTAAAATGATATCTTGAAGTTCGGAAATTTTTCACTAAGCCAAAGAGCCTCTTGAATCCTATCGTCTGCGGCGTTTGCTGGAGTTCTTCCGTTTCTTGGGGAAGGAAGGAGTGGGTGGGTGGGAGAGAGAGGGATTTGGTGTGTGGGTGGTGAAAAGGGGGAGGAAGGATGAGAGGGAGGAAGGAATACACACAGACAGACATGTTACACAATTGCAAAACAATTTAATCTGACACTCAAAAGCTTGGGAATTGTCGACTAAATTCATTGGTGACTGATCCGTGAGTTTACATTTGGTTCTTGGTATACCGACTCCTTCCTCTAATCTTCTTATCTCTGTTATCTTCGTTGATTTTTTATCCATTCCCTCACCTGAAAAAAATAACATTTATTTTCCTTATGGTGCAGAGGTTCTATAGGACACAGAGAAGAGAACGGTAGCAGTTTGTTTTCTATATTACTTCATTGTTGTTCATGTGACGGTGATGGCTGTGTCTTGGTGTTAGCGAGGGTTTGGTTTGGTGGTGTAAGTCAGGAAGTTTAGTGGCTAGTCTCATTAATCTTACTATAGGGAGTTATACGTAGTTTACTGTGTTAAGAGTCGTGGTTGATTGGGGGGACTGTTTAAGTACTCTCTCTCGTACCCAATAATTAAGTGAAAATTTCAAATTACGTAGATTTATGAGATCAATTTTATATCGTGGTTAATCTGAAGACGAATTTACTATTAGACAGATGCATTTAACTTTAGTATCTTCCAGGGTTCATTTTTTCTGTCGTAGTTTAATTGAAATTGTTAGATGTTTTCTTGAAA